GTGCTAGCCTGCTGCCCTCATGACCTCATACTTGGCCTTGATTTTCTTTCAGCACACTCGGCCTTAATTGATTGTTCGTCTGGTACCCTCAGCCTTGATCTACCAATCTTTGCCGACTACTCTGCAAAGCCCACCAGCCGCTTGAGCCCAACCACTTTCGTTCACCTGCCACCTCGAGCCGTCACGTACGTGTCTTTGTCATCGACCCCTCCCGTTGCTGACGATTACGCCAATTAGTGACGTTCGGCTGATGCGCAGTGTTACTGTGCCCTATACCATCGCGACCATAGCGGATAACTGTGTGTTACTTCCGCTCTTTAACTTTGGTTTCACCCCTCAAGTGTTGCCCTGCCAGATGTCTCTAGCCAAGCTAACTGCCATAACAGAGGACGATGTCAGTGTTGTCGCTGTATCTGCTCTTGATCGAAGCGCAGTCTCACGGTCACCCAGCTCAGACAATGGTATTTTTCGAAACATGATTGGATCGGAGCTGTCGCCTCACCAGGCCGACGCTCTCTGCCAAGTTTTGGCCTCATACAGTGACATTTTCGACACCGACGATCGTCCCTTGGGCCAGACTAAAATTGTCACTCACCGAATCAACACTGGTGACTCTGCGCCCATTCACCGTCGGCCGTATCGCGTGTCAGCGTCCGAGCGAGAGGTGATTCAGAAAGAAGTGGCCAAAATGCTTACGAAAAACGTAATTGAACCATCAACAAGCCCTTGGGCATCTCCCGTGGTATTAGTAAAAAAGAAAGACGGCTTATGGCGTTTCTGCGTTGATTATTACCACCTCAACAAAATTACCAAAAAAGACGTGTACCCTCTACCACGCATTGACGATGCCCTTGATTGCCTCCATGGCGCCACCTTCTTTTCATCTCTCGACCTCCGATCTGGCTACTGGCAAATTGCTGTAGATGACATGGACCGAGAAAAGACCACCTTCGTTACCCCTGACGGTCTTTACCAATTCAAGGTCATGCCATTCGGGCTCTGCAACGCGCCAGCGACCTTTGAGAGAATGATGGACACACTCCTGCAAGGATTTAAATGGTCGACATGTTTGTGTTACCTGAACGATGTGATCATTTTCTCACCTACCTTTGCAACCCACCTTGAACGCCTTTCGACCATTCTATCCATATTTCGACGGGCCGGCCTGCAGCTCAATTCCTCCAAGTGCCACTTCGGTCTTCGTCAGATTACCGTATTGGGTCACCTTGTTGACTCTGTTGGCGTACGGCCAGACCCGGCGAAAGTACGCGCTGTAACAAACTTCCCAGTCCCATGCTCTGTCCATGATGTTCGCAGTTTTGTGGGCCTCTGCTCCTACTTTCACTGGTTCGTGAAAAACTTTGCGGCACTCGCACGGCCACTCACCGACCTTCTCAAACAAGACGTTCCATTTTCTTGGGGCCCTCCTTAAGCTGACGCCTTCTCTCAGCTAATCACCGCTCTAACGACACCTCCTATTCTTGCACATTTCGACCCCGATGCTCCTACAGAAGTGCGAACAGACGCGAGTGGTCACGGAATTGGTGCAGTTTTGGCGCAAATTTAGTTGGGCAACGACCGTGTAATCGCGTACGCAAGCCGTCTGCTTTCTAAGTCTGAACGTAATTATTCTATAACAGAACGGGAATGTCTGGCTCTTGTTTAAGCGGTTTCGAAATTCCGTCCTTACTTGTATGGCCGCCCTTTCCGTGTCGTCACAGATCATCACGCGCTGTGTTGGCTTTCTTCTCTGAAGGACCCCACTGGATGACTTGATCGTTGGGCATTACGCCTACAGGAGTATTCCTGCTCGGTTGCTTATAAGTCTGGACGTCTCCATCTGGACGCCGATTGCTTATCCCGCTACCCTGTTGATCAGCCCGACGAACCAGACATCGAGCCTAGCCTCAGCGTCATGTCAATGTCCCAGTTTCTTCAGATTGGGGATGAACAATGTCGTGATGCTTCTTTGCGACAACTTATTGACTGTCTCGAATCTGCTCCGAACGACACGTCACTTCACATGTACGTTTTCTGAATGGCACGCTGTACCGTCGTAGCCTCCAGCCAGAGGGCCCTGAGCTCCTTCTTGTCGTGCTGAAAAATTTGCGTTCAACCGTGCTGCACGAGCTTCACGATGAACCAACTGCTGGTCATCTGGGTGTATCTCGGACATACGACCGCGTGCGTCATCGCTTCTTTTGGCGCGGTCTCGCCCGGTCCGTTCGCCGTTACGTGTCCTCCCGCGATAAATGCCAACGTAGGAAGCGACCTACTGCACCCCCGGCTGGACTTCTTCAACCGATATCCATCCCAACCGAACCTTTCTTCCGTGTTGGTATAGATCTTCTCGGTCCTTTTCCCGAGTCGAAATCGGCAACAAGTGGGTCGCCGTTGCTATAGACTACGCGACTAGGTATACCATCACTCGAGCGCTCCCCACCAGCACCGCTACTGACGTTGCGGACTTTTTGCTCCAAGACGTCATCCTACACCATGGCGCTCCTCGCCAATTACTCACGGATTGCGGCTGCGCATTTTTGGTCCCGTGTAATCGACGATCTTCTGCGCTCTTTCTCGACGCACCACAAGCTGACTACTTCCTACCATCCCCAAACAAATGGTCTTACCGAACGGCTAAATCGAACCCTAACGGACATGCTCGCGATGTACGTGTCCTCCGACCACCATGACTGGGACCTGGCGCTACCTCACGTGACCTTCGCGTACAATTCTTCACGCCATGACACTACTGGTTATTCACCCTTTTATTTGCTTTATTGCCGTGATCCGAAGTTACCACTCGACACCCTACTTCCAACCACTACAATGCCGTCAACCGAATATGCACGCGACGCTATTGCTCGTGCCGACCACGCACGTCAGATCGCCCGCTCTAGACTTTCGGCTTCGCAAGCCACCCAGAAAGCCATCTACGACAGCCGGCATGCTGACGTTCACTTCTCACCCGGTTCTCTTGTTCTCCTGCGGTGCCCAGTTCGTCGAGTTGGCTTATCAGAGAAGTTGTTGTCTCGCTACAAGGGTCCTTACAGTATCATCCGCCAGGTAACCGACGTCACCTATGAGATCATTCCTGCATCTGAGACCACAAGCCTGCATGCAACCACACCCAGTGATGTTGTGCACGTCAGCAAGCTAAAACCTTACCACCTGCCTACTGAAGACCGTAGTTAATGTGCACCAAGACGGCGCTTTTACCGCAAGGGGGTAATGCTACATAGCTGACATATCAGTGGTCAGAAGACGACAACGAGGAAGTGGTCTGTCGGTTGTGCGTGCTGTTTTCCATCTTAGTCGACGCCATACGCATCAGTTTGAATATAGATTTTAAATAGACACGCCTCGCGTCATTTTTACGTAACAATATGTTCAAAGTTTTCTGTAAGTTGAAAAAAGAAAAATTTCATCATCGTGAATCGGCGCACACTCTCTTCATGCCTTTCTTTTCGTTTACGCCCGCTTCTTCCCCGACCGCTTCGCTCCCAGATTGTGTGCGGCTACTATTCATCCAATATGGGAGGCAGTAACTTTGTTGGTCGGGAGAACGAGTACAGGGAGAGAGAGAGAGATACCATAAACAAAGAGAAATGGTTTTGTCAAAGAAAGTTTTTTTGGCGAGAGAAGATGCGAACCCGCATACTGATGATCCGAAGGCGAGTGTTGTAACCACTGGGCTATCCAGGCAATCTAGCTGATCGTAGCGTAATTAGTGATTCTTGGTACAGTTGAACCCCTTTATAAGAGACATACACTGGGGAGCATTTCTTGTCTATTATGTGAGGTGTCTCTTATAAGCAGGGTACCATGTAGGCATCTTCTTATCAATCCTTATTTCAATTCAAGCACACTACTCAATGCATGCACACTACACCGTAACAAATGAATGTTGTATATTTTGTTTCTTCTCCCGTTAACTTCATGTATGGAAGCCCCCCTGACAGTTTCCAACTTTGGGGCTCCTTGTGTGTATTACCAATCCAGTACGCACTTTTCTGTAAACTGACATGGTTGTTGAATAAACTTGAAAACTTGAACTTGAAACACTGGAGTCTCTTACACCCATTCGTCTCTTATATGAGTGTCTCTTATAACATGGTTCGGCTGTATTGTGGAAAGATGAAAAAGAGGGAAAAGAAGGGAGGAGCACTTAGTAACTGTCTCTATGTAGGACACCTCAACCAAAACACTCATGAGGGCTGGGGAATGAAGGGCGTGGAAAGAGAGGATAAAGAAAATGTAGTAATTGGAGCAGAGGCAGGAGAGAAGCGCCTGGTTTACCGTGTTGAGCGGCTTAGAAAAGCCGCTCGATCGGCTTTCTGTCTTCAAGGAAGGAGATCGGGGCCTCAAGAGTGACATGATAGTGATCCTTGCAGCCGACAAGGAATAGGAAGTTCAGTGGGGACACACAGGGCAGACTGGGGTGGCGGTGTTCAGTTGCGAGCTGCTTCTCAGTGCTCACAAGAGCTGAGAACTTGCAGAGAAGATGTGAAACTGTTTCTATTGTGCCGCAAATAGCTTGTATTGTATAGTTTAGCAAAAGCTAGAGAACTGAGAGGGAGGAGGCGGAAAAAAGAAGGGGATAATGAGTACATAGAGAGAAAAAGAAAGATAGAAAGTGAGAAATAGAAAGGGTATAACGGCAAAAGTATAGATGGTGAGAGAATGACTACAGAAAAAGAGAGAGAGAAAGACAAGGAAAGCAAGAGAAATATAAACATAAGAAAAAAGAGAGGGATATATAGGGACATACAGAAATAAATAGAGAAAGGAAGGGATTGAAAGAAACAGACAAAAAAGAGAGAGATAAAGAGCGAGCATAGCAAAGTATAGTACAGTGTAGCAAAAGGTGGGAAAGAGAGAAGTGAGAAGGAAAAAAGTCCAGGCAAGCAAGGATCAGCTAGGTACTCACCACCTCTGCTGTGACCATTCTTGTGTGGTAGTGAACACTATACTAAATTTTTTGTATCACATCCATGCAGCCAGCTGGGTGAGCCGCAGAAGGCAGTTCCCTTCTTGGTGGAGCTCGTGAGAAGCCAGGCGGACGAAGGGTGGCACCGGTTGGCAGCCATTGGGCAACACCGCTTGCTCGACTGCTACGCTCAGACGGGCGAGTGGGGACGCTATCTACGCGCTGCGCTGGCCCTGGCTACCTGCCCTGCCCTGCCCCTGGCCGAACGACTCCAGCTGTTCGAGGAGGTCCAGCCTTGCATGCGGAACCTGAGTGAGATGGGTGTGTGATGCGCTCTGGTGCTGTGTCGCTGCTTGTGTAGTATAAGAAATCGGAGGGGACCCCAATCCTTCATTAGATTATTGGAAGTGGCAGTGGCACCTTGGCATTTTTGTGCCCTGGTGTGTTTCTCGTTGTTAACGTTGTGTTTTCTTGCATGGCCAAAGTGGATCTCAGAGTCCATGTAGAAGGAAGCTCATGCTTTATACTGGCTCCATGTCGTGCTGCAACGATCCAAGCTTTCAACGAACACATTCCATTAATTTTCATTAACTGCTATTATTTTAATAAACTTAAAGGGGCCCCACAACACTTCTTTTAAGTAATCATGGTTACATTAAAAGTCGTTATTGCTTCATGAATCAACTACCACATAAATATTTAGAATCGTCAAGTACGAGCGAAGTAACAAGGATTAGCGACACACATTAAAGGGGCCCTGCAACACTTCTTGAGCATGGCCAGAACATGCTGCCGATGGGTAGTAGATGCTCCCGGGAACACACGAGCAAATGTTACAGCGCAGCACGTGGCCTGGAAATCACAATAAATTATCAGAGTCAGCTAAGAATTGCTTTCTGTTCCCTCGACAAATGACGGAAGATGCTTATAAATCACACTTAGAATGCCCATCTATGAGCCATTGGCTGATTTGAACATGGCTTGCTCGGTCCTGATAGAGATCGTTGCGAGAGGCCGTCACTTGTCCACGGCAGAATTGCACTGAAAAAGCTGTGTATTCGAAGAAAAAGAAAAAAAGTGTTCAAGGTCACGAGGCGTGCGTGAAGTTTTTGTTTGCCCTCCCTTCCCTCCCTGCTTAGCTTCCAGCACTTTCGTCGAGACGAAAGAAGAGAGAGTGTGATTGCAGCGTGTGACAAATCTTTGTAACTCCGCTAGTACTGGATGGATTCTTAAAATTTTTGCGGCGTTGAATTGTGAGGCAATATGCGTTCTAGCGAATTAATTTTAATTCTACCACTCAAGAAAGTGTTTCAGGGCCCCTTTAAGCACTTTCTCTCTCTTTGCAGACCAGTAGGTGGGCTGAAAAATACACAGAGAGTGGGATGACAAGTGGGCAAGAAGATTCATCCCTTTGTCAGTGCGTGTCATAGCCTTGAGCAAGTTTTCTTACTTTTTTCTGCAAACGTGCAGCTTACTTTCAGTGTGACAGCATGCATGGAGGGCATGTGGTGCTATCCAGTAGTGGCCATGGTAACTAGGCAGCTCACCATGCTCAAATCGGCCATCTGCTGTGGGCTTTGGATATATAGCAAAGTAATTTGTGTATACGGCATTTTGTAAAAAAGGAGGGAGTGATTTCTAGTTCACTTCAAGAATAATTGTAAATTCCAGGCCACATGCTGTGCTATAGGCACTGGGCGGCCGTTGTACGGCGCTAGCTGCGCTCCTCCCGAAAAGCGCCGCAAGCGGCGTCAGTGGCGCTACTGGCACTGTGAAGCAGACTGACATGGAGAAGGCTCTCCTACTTTCGACATAGCATTCATAGCGTAGTAGTGGTGTTGTTTTGAACGATCCAAAGTTGTTTGCCATCGCGTTTGTCACCCAAGGCAGAAAGAAGGGGCAGCAACACCTTTTCTTGAACAATGCATGAAGCGCTTGACTGTCCGACATTTAATCACATAACGGGGTGGCTGTTGTTGGGCTTCCTGGGACACTCCTGCACAGTCGTTTGCAGTCTTGGTAGCATTTAATGGTAACCAAGTCATCTAGAAATAATGACGCATGTCCCTCTCATGTCTTCACACCGAGTAGCACCGTCAGGAACATCAAGCAACTCAGCTTCTTTGCGCTGGTACTGTGCTTTTAGGCATTTGTTTACGTTCGGAGATGGACCAGAAAGGGCATGATGGCTCCTCTCTTTCGCGAATGCAGATGAGACTAGCTCGACTGGCGAAATACTGTAAAATAGAGTAAACATCTTTGCATTTTAACTGCAGAACTTGCTGTACCACTCTCTTGGCGAGCCCTGACAGCTCAAATGCACCCGTGGCAATGCCACTTATATTGCGCTGCGGCTTTCAAGGCTTGAGCAGTTGGCGCACAGGTTTTTGTGTGTTGCTCTACAAAATTTGCCGCGGACATGAAGCAAGCCACGTGCGCGAAATCACGTAATATAAAGGTGACACCGGTTGCCTATTCAGATGAAGCTCAATGCGACAAGCTGCGATGTAATACCACCACATCTATTTTCATTTGAAATGCGAAGCATTTCTTAGCGTACCGAAGACATTTTGAGTGTTTCTATCTGTGTGTATATCTATTTAGACAACAAAGTCAATATAGGCACTGTCGTCGTCACCTCCTTAAACTAATTCGTATTAACCAATATCAGCATAGGGGTTACTATAGTACAGTGCAGTCCACTTATAACGATATCGAGAAAACCTAAAAATATGATCGTTATAACCGGTGATCGTTATATCTGGACTGCTGCCAAAAAATCGTCGCCGGACGTACCTTTTGTAGCTCCAGGCTTCATTTCGCTATTTTCACCAATCAATAAATATTGTAGATAGTAGGATGTCAAAAACAAGACTTTATTTCTTACTCTGAAGAACGCATCACGGGTTCGCTGAGGAAGAGAGACTGACCGACGGCGGGGTGGGAGCAGTGGGAGGAAGAAAGCACAGCCAGAGATACACAGCCGGAATGCCAACGAGGCCCCGCCCCGATGCCGCCGCGCCGCTTTGCTTTTCGCTTTTTTTATTTTCTCTCTCTTTCCCGCTTTCGTTCGGCAAGCAACGAGTAGCTTGCCGGCTTGCCGTTGTAGAAGGCGGGGAGCCGCGGAGCGCGGCGCTTTGCTTTTCGCATTTTTTTTTTAATTCTCTCAGCCTCTCCGCGGTCGACGCACGGCGAGGCGCAAAACGTGACACACCTGGCGCCATCTGTAGCGCGTCGCGCCAACTCGCGATGCTCTCCTCAGCTTTTTGAACGGCCGGGACGCGCTGCCGGCGCTGTGCTGCAGTGGCGGCAGGTACTCGCCTACGCTAACTTTTCGTCTTGTCTCGGCATAGTTCGTTTCAGAGGAACTTATCAATCTAAATGTTACGATTATTCTGAATGAAACATGCCGTCCACGGCAAACTTTTCATCGTTGTATCCGATATGCGGTGGATAACATATCGTTATATATGGTTTTTTTCCCCATAGCCCCAATGCATAAAATGAGACTGTTAAGTCGACCCATCGTTATAACCGATTTATCGTTATATGTGGTATCGTTATAAGTGGACTGCACTGTACAGTATGACAAACTTGACTCCCTGGTTGCAAATTGAGTAGCACGAAAATCTTGGCGTGTACATTATGAAACCCTTTCCTTCTTCCACATGTGGCACATACACGGGCTGCGAGATGCATGTACGAGCCACATGTGATTCACAGTTTATATCTACCCAGAAGGGGCAACATACTTTAGTAACTCAAACGGGCGCACGTCAAGAAAATGTGGCATCAGCTGTGATGACCCCAGGTATGCAAAGAATAAAAATCAAAATACCAGAAGGAACTAGACACAGGCATTCTTAGAGGCAATCGATTATTCTAAAAAAGAGCCATGCCAGGTCTTCAAACTCCTTTCGGAAAGACCCTATGTGCAAAAAATATTGGTGCAACTAATGTCAGCAGTAGTTGCAGTGCTGGCTTTCTAATTTTATAACTGTCGGATAAAAATCGAGCGCGCCCATCGCTTAGGTGCTCACAAAGAAAGCGAATCTCGGCCAATTATAGTAAGTTTTCAAACTACAAAACAAAAGACAAAATTCCTTCGGCTCGTACAAAATTAAAAGAACTAAATGTCGCCGTCGCCGAAGATTTTTCACCAGCTACGCGTCAGGCTCGGGGAAAGCTCGTGGCCTTTGCCAAAAGCCAACCCGGATCACCGCGATTCAAGCTGCACCATACCAAGCTAATAATAGACAAAAAGCACTACACTTATGACCTTTTCACTGATAGCATAACCGAACTAAAGCTGTAGCAAAAAGATAACCAAGTACTCTCCCATCCAACGCCAACACGTGCTTTAACGTAGGAACGTGTGAGGGGCAGTGTAACTAAGTCGTGTAATGTATCTGTGCTTTTCACTGAATGTTCGGAGTATTATTAACAAACGGGATGCTTTAACATCTGTCATTGACACTTGTAACAGCTGACAATCATTGTACTAACTGAAACGTGGATTGCTCTCATACATTCAAGATCACGAAATTCCACACCATAGTTGTTTTTTGTTCTACCAATGTGATCGAACGATATGGCGAGGCAGGTGGCGTTTTGTTAGGTATCTGGAAAGATTTGTCATCCCAGCGCATCCATGTTAGCACTAACCTTGAAGTTGTATGCGCCCTTGTTGAAATAGGGTCCCGAAAGTTGTCATTTTGCGCCTATCGCCCACTTACTGACTCGTCTAGTTCTGTAAGTGAGCTACACGATGTGTTAAACATACTTGTTTCTCGTTATTCTACGTCCCCCCCTGTTTCTGTTGGGTGATTTTAATATGCCGAATATAGAATTGGCTGATGATCATCCTACTATTTTTCCCTTCTTTACGTTTGCTGAAGAATTCCTAGACCTATGCTCTCTTTTTTCACTAACTCAGTTAGTCAAAGAACCGACAAGAATAATGAACGGTACAGCTAACACTCTTGATCTAGTACTTACAACCATGCCTGATTTTGTTTCTAACCTCGCACATCTACCAGGTCTGAGCGATCATTATTTACTCACATTTAGTCTAAATGTATTGCATCCCAGAACAACAAAACTAAGTAAACCTGTCCCCAACTATATCTGTGCTAATTTTGAAGCAATTAACAATGAGCTAGGTGAATTTCTTGACCGGTTTTTTAACGATTTTGATAATCGAACAGTGGAAAATAACTGGAACATGTTTACTAAGAAAGTTAGCGATCTCATGGAGAAATACATTCCTGTTCACTCTATCTCTTCCAGCTGTAATGCTTCATGGTATACAAGTAACCTTAAATCCTTATCTAACAAGAAAAAAACGCTTGTACCGATCAGCTAAACTTTCTAATAATGATACGCAGTTGGGCGGCTTACAAACTAGGCTAATGATAACTACGGTATCTTGCGGCACTAAGGTCAGCCAAAGAGAACTTATCCTACTGTATTACTCACTATGCTAGTTACTGACACTAAAAAGGTTTTGGCGCACCATCAATCCACGTGATAACAATATCGTTCATCTAACCGCCACCGACGGTGCTTGCAATTTCTTCGGGAGAGTGGGCTAAGCCTTTTAATGAAACCTTTGTGCGAAATTTTTCTTTTTCCAAAAACGTCTGCATGCCACCTCTTGAAACATTTAACTACATTGATATGTTTCCAATAAATATTGAACGAAGCGGAATTGCAAAAGTAATTGAAACACTCAAAGTGTCTTCCGCTTCCGGTTGTGACGAAATCAGCCCTAAATTCTTGCAGAGCACTTGCGCCTATTCATCCATCATTTTAACAAAGATTTTTCAGCAATCACTTGACGACGGTCGCTTGCCTGCCGACTTGACGGTGGGGAAGGTGATTCCGATTCATAAATCAGGAAACAAAAACTCTCCTCTTAATTACCGACCCATTTCACTTACTAGCATCCCTTGTAAGATCCTCGAACACGTTCTTTTTTCACACCTTGTTAATTTCTTAGAATCAAATTCATTTTTTACGCGATCACAGCATGGTTTTCGCAAATGTTACTCATGTGAAACACAGTTAGTATCTTTCACACATAAGCTTCATGCCATACTTGATCGATCATCATCTGCTGACTGCATTTATTTAGACTTTTCAACAGAATTGGAAAAGGTGTGCCATAAACTACTACTACACAAGTTACGTCAGCTTAATATTGAACCAAAACTTCTTGCATGGCTTGAGATTTTTCTAACTACTCGCTCGCAGTTCGTTTCGATTAACAACCAAAATTCTAATAATACCTTCGTTCAATCCGGTGTGCCACAAGGTTCTGTTCTCGGCCCTCTGCTTTTCCTAATATATATTAATGATTTAACATCGTGCGTTTCATCTAATATAAATTTATTTGCTGACGATTGCGTAGTGTTCCGAGAAATAATCTGTGACGATGACCTTATCACCCTCCAAACTGACCTAATTGTATAACGGCTTGGTGCTTAAAGTGGCGCATGGAACTCAATGTTAGCAAGTGTAAATTTATGCGTGTATCCAGAAAAAATAACCCATTACGTGTTTACTACCTTGATAGCACCGTCATAGACTCTGTTTCTTCCTATAAATATCTCGGTGTTAACATTACTAGCAACCTCTCCTGGAACTGTTCACATTGAACATATTATTAACAATGCAAACCGCATGCTGGGTTACCTGAGGTGTAATTTTGCTAAGGCACCATCTTCTCCTAAACTACTGTTGTACAAAATACTTATTCGTTCTAAATTAGAATATGCCCCGTGTATTTGGTATCATTATTGTAACAATCTCATAAACTCACTTGAAATGGTGCTAAACAATTCTGCCCGTTTCATCCTGTCAAACTATAACCGAACCGCCAGCGTAACAACAATGAAATCTACCCTTAACCTTCAATCCCTAGCAGTTCGGCGTAACATTTCCCGACTTTCGTTGTTCCACAAAATATTTTATCACCAACATCTGCGTGAAGAACTCATTTTGCTCCCATTGTACATTTCTTCTCGCCTTGATCATGCTCACAAAGTCTGTATTGCATCAACACGAACGGCCGCTTTTTTTCAATCATTTATTCCCCGTACGCCATTAGAATGGAATCGCCTTCCCTCTCCTACAGCAACCATTGTAAATCTCACGCTTTTCAAAAATGTCATAGTCAACATTTTGTAATTCCTGCTTGTTGTGTACAGTTATGCTTGCTTGCTGCATTTCTTTTTGTTTTGCCTAATTTTGTATAAGGTGTTTGTTATGTTATTCTCTCGCTGCTTTTTTTTGTTATTCTTATGAATGTACCCACTCCCCTCTATAATGCCATTGACCTTGAGGGTAATGCTAATAAATAAATAAATAAATAAATAAATAAATAAATAAACATTACGTACAGAATGTTCAAAGAAATGTGTCCAATATGCTTAAGAAATCGGGCAAAAACATTATTTTCTCACTCTCTTCACAGTTGCTTTTTCTATGGTGGCAGACACCTTAAAAGGCTTGAAGGTATTATTTAGAATGGTAATTAGAAAAGTTAAAATAATAAAATATTAATTAGTGGGGTTAGGCAGTTAAGTCAAATGGGAGAATTGAAGGCCTTCATGCTAAGAACTGATTGCCGCTTGGAGATTTCAGGAAAGCAGCCTCTAGTAATAACTGCGAATTAATTAAATTCTCCCCAAGGCTGCGGTTAATGCAGAGATCTCTAGTGGACTAACCCATGCTTGGCAAGTGGAAAGAGGTGCGTGAAAGAGAAAAAGACAGGAAGTCTGTGAAGGCAACACAAAGTCACTGCTGTGACACTGCCTTACTAACATACTAAAACATGTATCACAAATTCACTATCACAATGTGTCATTTAATCTAGTGTGCTTAAAAAAGTGCAGCTTTAAAGCGACTTACATCGAAAACTGTGTAGGCAAGTTTCGGATCTTCATCTTCAAAAAAATTCTAAATGAAAAGCTTTGATGTGGCTTTGGACAGAAGTGTGAAAGGAATGAAAGTTTATGAGAACTTGTTTCTTACTGCAATGCTTGAAGAAGCCTTGTACACCCTTATTTCCAGGAGATGGGCCTGTGGCTCTGCCCATGGAAGGCCTGGTGTCGCTTGAGGCGGACGAGGCTAGTGGTTCCCTCCCGCTGCCACCACCAGCATCAACAGTTCCACGGTGGGCCGAGGGCAGCGAGGTGGAGCTGTCGTTGACTCTAACGAGCCAGCTACCAGCCACCCTCAAGGGCTGCACCCTGACTCTACACCTGCACCGGCTAGAGTCACCACCGTCTGTACCCAACACACCCACCGTAAGAGGCCACTCAGTGTCATCAGCACTGTCGCACAGCTCTTCAGCTTCTTAGTTAGAAATATACGGGCCTGCCGATACTTGCCAAGCTCTAATATAACTTTTTGAATGAGTGTTTTGGGTGTTCTACATTTGGGGATGAGTATTCTAGGTGTTGAACATTTTCTTTAAATTTGGAAACTGCCCTTGAGATGCATACGAAAAAGGGGCTCCTTTTCTGTATCCACTCGTGATGTGAAACTAAAGAAAGGAAACCGCACACACCTTGCGTCAGACACCATCACATAGCAGGAGATGCAGAGGGGTTATTCTGTGTGCCATACTTTAAAAGGAGAAGGAATATTGAAGAGTGTCGGGTTCTGCGTTGTCGACACTTGCAGCGTGTTGCTCAACTGCAACGGCGTAGCAACTGTGATAGTGGTTAGTTCACGCTTATCTTGTGTATATCTGCAAGTACTTTTGAAGCGTCCTTCATTGTGCTTCAGAGGGAAGCTGCAATTATAGAGCTGCTTGTCGATCTTCGTGTGACATTCCAATATCTTGCTATCGCATTCGTTCCTTCGCACTTGCGGCGAAACTGACTGTTTATTTTTCGGTCTTCTGTGATTTGTCTTACTTGTGTCATGACGACTTTCAAAAGAGAGTGGGAAGTAACTTTTTATGGTTGTGTACTGTCCACAGTTGTTCAAAATGCGAACATAGAAGCTCTTGGTTTTCGCACTGCTCAAAGAAAAGGGAAGACTACAAAGATGTGCATGCAACCAACTGTGATTTGCCGTGACGCTTCACATTTCATTGTACTGCTTCATGCTTTATGCACCTCACTGGGGTGCTAGAGAACCACGCATTCCTTTGTTTGCTCTTGAATCGTCATACATAGAACAATCTTGCCTACGTCCCTGAATAACCGTATTTCCTCGAACATAACCTGACTTCATATTCGCAATGCCTATGAACTGTCGTGCCGCCAAGTGGAATTCGAGAGCATTCTCTCAGGGAGGGTTAGTAGACTAACACAATGGCAGCACTACGCACTCGCTGCCTTGTTCGGCTGTGCTAGCCTCAGTGTTATCACAATAACAAGAAACGAAGATTACGACTTTGCATGTTTCCAGCACTGTTGACCAAATGGGTCCTTTCATGATACTGTAAATCTGATTCGTTCTTGCAAGATGGGAAGTTTTCGTTAAAAAAATATGGCAACTAGTGCTTTCAATGGTAGCCCGCAGCATGCACATGTCAGCTGTGCAAGGTTTTCTGTAGCGACATAGGTCAAGTAAATCTTATCGTCTGACCTTTTCATTTGAAGCTCATGCTGTTTTACTTACATATATCATTCGTTAGACTTTTTGTAGTGCATGCATGCCATAACATTGTATGCAAGTTGCTTGGGCTCGTGATGTGATTTTCTGGGATTGAGCGATCTCAAACTAACAATAGTTTGAAATAAGACACTTGGTCCTTTTCCAGAAAAGTGCTGTTATGAATCAAGCGAGCGAAGCTTCAGCCATTCGGGGATTCACTCACTCCATCATAATTGTAGAGCAAACACTCTGAATTCTGTCCTTCGCCTATGTTGCTTTCAGCGCTGTGTCTCCTGTTTTTGTAGGCTTGTTGATAGCTGGCAGCACATGGCAAGTGATTTGCTTGTTGACCGAATTGAGAGCAAAATGTTCTGCATGCCCAGACATTAGCATAGTATCGCAGGGTGGTTGGAGTCATTCGATGGAGGAAATTCTACAAGTTGCTTTCAGCAATGAAGATGAAAGGAACCATCTTGGCGCCGAGGATATTTAACTGGGCATAGAAGGCCATGAAAGCACTGATAGTGACAGCGTCGATGAACGATCAGCTGCTAACTCACGAGGAGTGAGTTGCACTTCACGTCCCGTCGTACATTATTGTTTTCTCACGCTCGCAAGCCATTTTGATTGTATATAATGTATCATATTGTTGAGCAAGATCAAAACACAAGCATATTTTTTCTTGCGTATTGCGTGTGGCACAGTTATTGTGGAGCACCGCATGCTGCCAACACGCTCAAGCTTGACCGGCAAAGCAAAACGGTTAGAGCAATGAAAGGTGCCGTCGCGGCCACAATCCATGCCACTCGGCTAACTTCCTCTGTGTACTTCACCTGGGACTTCTGAACGGCATTGTTGTTAGACAAATTTTTGCAACCTCGAAAAGTTTGACGTTGCAAAAAGCATCTGTGGTGCATTCTTAGCAAATTAATGTTTTCATGATGCTGATTGAACCTGCAGCATCCAAGTGCCGTGCATTGTGCACGGCTAGAGTCTGAGCATGACTGTGACAAAAGTGCTACTGAATGGGATGTTAAATGCTTGTGTTCCATTGAAGAAGTAACTCCGTGTTCTTGACTGCGCAAGTAGTGACAATGGTGTAATACATTTGCAAACTATAATTATGTTGAAAATGCGATCCCGTGCAGCAGCGATTGTGCTACTCGCTAGTGGCCTACTGCTGTGGTGAATTTGTTGGGAAGCCTCCTTACGTACTATCTTGAAATGCTGTTCAGTTCATACATATATTGCAGTCCAAGCAGTTTTTTGTAGCGCACACAGGGTTTTGCAAAGCCTCATTGGTAATGGAGCTGAAATATGAACTTTCACGCTGCAGCAAATATTTAAGTGGCGAGCACTTTCTACTTTCCATGGTTTGGGAAAGTATTTCGGTCTCATATCTATTTCAGTGCAACTCATGACTTTGTCAGTTGAAAGTGGCACGAGCTGTACGTCCACACGTTTTATTTGTTCTTATGCTAACAAACGGGTGGACCCTTCTGCAGGTGTTGTCTTGAATCACACAGCAACCACCCATAGTTCGTGGCCATTGCGAATATAAACAGCACCTCTAACTGCAATTTGAGAAAAAAGTTTTAAAAAAGAGAGAGAGAAAGACCCCACCGCTTATTGCTGTGAAGCCACCTTCATTCCGGGAAGCATTGTCTGAAAGCCATCTTGAACAATAAAATTAGTGTGTAAATCACGCCCTGACTTTACCGTGCACTTATGAGTATTTCTTGCAGGAGTTATAGTATATGTGAAAATGTGGTACCCATCTGTCGGTGTGCTTTAAAACTTTCAGAAACAGCGTGGCCGGTGGAGTTGGCTAGCATCGAGTGGTCGCCCTGGCGGGTGGAGTCCTCGCATGGCTGTGCTGACACCACGCTTGACATCGAGTCCCTCCGTGGGACGAGGAACCTCCGGTCACCATGCTGCAGGATCGGTGGGGCTGGTGTGCTCCAACCTGCCTGTTGTACCGCCTCAGGCACCGTGCCTCACGAACACTGGCGGTAGTGGCGACACCATCGAGTTCCAGCTCCAAGGTGTTGACCTGGTGCCAGGAACCAATCGGTTCACCTTCCACCACAAGGTGGGGGTTGCACAGAACACAGCATACTGTATCCTTAAGGCGCAACGTCCAGATATGTGGACACGACTTGTTTTTGCCAGTTCTTTGGACTTGTAGCCAAGGAGGAGATACATGCATTACTGAATGATGAATGGAACCTTCTGCATTATCACTGTGTCTTTCCTTAATCTCAGTGTGTTTCGTACTAGAGCAGCCAAACACTTTGATAAAAGCATTACATTTAGGCTTGTGTGAATAGTGAAATTTAGGTTCGAAGCGAATAGTCATCTTGGTCGAATAATTTCAAATCGAATTTGAATACTATGTATGACAAATAAAGAAAAATGGGCATATTTATAATGACCTAACTAACCTGCACAATATTTCTTTAAAATTGAGATAAGGCATCCATGCAAATGGCTTTTTTTTTTTCATTCAAAGGAAGTCATAACAACTTTGAGTAGTAGGGGGATTTGACTTTCGATGCGACGCAAGTGATCACCTGTAAAATACATAACATTTTAAAATTATTGTACTTAGAATATAAGCCGGCATAACAAGCTTTTAGGCTTAAAAAAATAATGAATCTATTTGAGGGTAATATGTTCATTACCGGGCTCCTGCAACACTTTCTCAAGTAGCCACGGAATCGATTCGCCAAAAAAGCTTATTGCCTCATGAATCCACCCCCGCAAAAATTTTTAGAATACATCCAGAATGAGCAGAGTTGCAAGAATTTGTCGCACGCTTTAATTAAATTTTCTCTTGTTTTGTCCCAATGGGAGCACTGGAAGCTAAACAGGGAGCAATGGCATGGCGGAAAAAAAATGTGTCACGCGTGACTCATGACCTTGAGAACTTTTTCTCTCTCTCTCTTATTTTTTCTTTGAATATGCAGATTTTTAGTGCGATCACGCATGTACGCGTAGACAAGTCGCGGCCTCCCGTGGCGGCCTCAGTAACGACCGAGCGTGTCATGCTCAAGTCAGCCAACGACTGATACAATGGCTGTGACGAGTAATTTTTGAGCTTTATCCGTCATTTGTTAATAGAAAAGAAAGCGATTGTTAGCTGACTGAGAATTTACTTTCGATTGCAGGCCGTGTGCTGCGCTATAATATTTGGCTCACGTGTTCTCTGTAGCCTTAACTACTGATTTGCAGTGTTTTCTGACCAGGCTCAAGAAGTGCTGCAGGGCCCCTTTAGATTTGTAGTGGGGCTTCACGGCAAATCAGATTTCTTTTAGTTAGGTGCTTTCACTGCTTAGCATTTTAACTCTCCAGTAAAATTATTTTTACAGGCAGTTACATGCAAACTAATACACACCTATTTGTTCATTGCGAATACCGTATTTACTTGCATAATCGGCGCACTCGCATAATAGGCGCACACCTAGTTTGGTCGCGGAAAATTCGATTTTTTTTAATTCCGCGCATAATAGGCGCACCCCGAACTTGGCCGTGATCGGAAACGATTCTACCCCCCAGCGGTACAGTTGGAACGCGGTCCCCGTACCCTGAAGAAAAAAAGAAGGCAAATCGACGAGCAAATAAAAAAAATTCGAAGTGCAACGACCTAACCAACGTGTTTGTCGAAATAAAACTTGAAAAAAAAAAAAAGCGTCCATGAGCGAAAAAAAAAACGGCTGTTCCATCAATTACTGATACCTCCCAAATCGCCGCGCTTTTTGGAGGTCACGTGTACAACGCCGGGGGCTCGATCGCCATCACCACCATCAGAGAAAAAGAAAGAAACGCCATATTGCAAGCGGTGTGCGTATGTTGTGGTCGTGTATTGAACTTTGGTTCCACCATGGGGAAGTACGCGAGCTACACGGCTGGGTTTAAACTGAAGGCAGTGCAGTACGCGCTGGAGCACGGCAACCAGGCTGCAAGCAGGCATTTCGGCGTGTCCCAGACCGGCAACGCTGATCAGACCCCCCTTTGCTTTGATATGCCGTGGAACACGACAGTGGAGGAGAAAGGTGCACGGAGCGTCATCGTCAGAACGTCTGGCGCTGATAAACAACGATGCACCGTAATGCTGGCGGTGACAGCGGATGGGCGTAAGCTACCGCCTTACGTTATTTTTAAACGTAAGACGCTCCCAAAGGCGAAATTCCCTCAAGGCATCTACGTCAGAGTCCAGGAAAAAGGCTGGATGAGCGCGGAACTCATGGTGGATTGGGTGAAAACAGTCTGGGGTCGGCGGCCGGGTGGTCTGTTGTTGCCGTCCATGCTTGTCCTGGACAGTTTTCGTGGGCACCTAGTAGACCGCGTACGAGATGAGCTAAAGTAGCTGCGCACAGATCTGGCAGTGATTCCGGGCAGCCTCACATCGATACTGCAGCCTTTGGACGTGTCCTTGAATAAACCTTTCAAGGACAATGTTTGAAGGCTGTATGCCACCTGGATGGCTGGAGGACAACATCAGCTGACTACAGGTGGTAAGATTAAGAGGCCGCCTGTGGAAATGCTGTGCGCTTGGATCGTGGAAGCGTGGCAGGCGATCTCCGCCGAAGTCGTCAGGAAAAGCTTCAAGAAGACGGGTATCTCGAATGCACTGGATGCGAGTGAGGATGACATGTTGTGGGGTGCGGATGATTCAGACACCGAAAACGAATCCCCGCTCGGCGAGGATGAATGTGTGATCTCCGACTCGGACTCCGAATAGGGAAAAGGAGGAACAGCTACGACTTTTGTGTAAATAAATTTTACGTGTGTGTGTGCAGTTGACGGCTCTCGCTTGTTCATTAAAAGGTACGTAGGTATGTTTGTTTTATGCTGAATTAATTGGTAAACGATAAAGTCGCCTTTTACTTGACAAGTGTGCAGATTTAAAGCGCGAGAACCGAGTTGAAAAAATTTTCGAAAATTTTACCCCGCGTAATTGGCGCACCCCTAACTTCGAGCCGGATTTTCTGAAAATAAAGTGCACCTATTATGCGAGTAATTACGGTACTTAGAAATTTTTTTATATCTTAAATTCGAACCGAAATGAATTCAAGTATTGTACTATTCGTTTGAATATTCGAAGCATTCGAATATTCACGCAAGCCTGATTACTAGGCTTGTATGAATAGTGAATTTTAGGTTCAAAGCTAATTCGAAGAGAATAGTGATTTTGATCAAATAATTTCGAATCGATTTCAAATGGTATGTATGACATATAAAAAAAGGGAATATTTATTATGACCTAACTAACCTGCACAATATTTCTTTTGAATTGAAATAAGGGCTCTATGCAAATGCCTTTTATTTTTTTTCATTCAAAGGAAGTCGCAACAACCTTTAGTAGTTGTTTGGGTAGGATGCGAGTGATAACCTGCAACATCCTTCACAGTTTAAAATTTATTATACTTGCAGCATATAAGACATGATAACAAGCATAATAAACTGAAGAATTGATTTGAGGGTAACATGTTCCTTTAAGGGGCCCTGCAACACTTCAAGTAGCCATGGAGCCAGTAAACATGCTTGTTGCCTCACAAATTTACCGTCGCAAAGTTTATAGAATCAGTTCAGTAGGAGCGGAGTTCCAAAAATTTGTCGCATGCTGCAATCGCATTTTCTCTTCTCGTCCCGACAAAATAGCTGGAAGCTAAGCAGAGAGGAATGGCACGGCGATAGAAAATTCGTCACACGTGTATTGTGACCTTGAGCACCTCTTTTTTTTTTTCTTTTCTCGCACGTGCACTCGGGGAAAAGCAGCGGCATCCCGCGGCAGTCCCGGTAACAACGAGTGCACTTTCTCAAATCAGCCAATGGCTCTGACCGGAGCCGTATATTCCTTCTTGGCTTTGAAAAGTGATTTTTGAGCTTGTAGTGTCATTTGCCGAGGGAAGAAAGTAATTTTTAGCTTTGAAAATTTATTGTGAATTACAGGCTGCGTGCTGCCCTATAATATTTATTTGCCCCGCGTGTTCTCAGTAGCCTCGACTACCGATCGGTGGCGTTTTATGAACATGCTCAATAGGTGTTGCCGGACCCCTTTCAATTGAAAAAGGGGCTTCGCGGCAAAACGAATTTTTCCTGGATAGGTGCTTTTGCGACTTAGCACTTCTACGTTGCAGTGAAACCATCTTTACGAGTGGTTACATGCGTATTAATATACATTTATTCGTTCATTGTGGAATGGAATGAAAAAACATTATTCATTGTGAATACTTCGAAAATATTCGATAATTTAAATTCGAATTGAAGCAAATTCAAATACTCAACTATTCGTTTGAAGCATTCGAATATTTGCACAAGCCTACTAATTACGATGCTTGATGCAAAGAAAAGGCACACATGTAAAAAACATACAGGCAATGCCGTGCACATACGGCCAAAAGGCTCAAAAGGTTAAAACAGTGCTATCGACAGTACCATTACCATCATTACCATCTATTGTGAAGCCTCATAATCTGGTTTCTTCTGTAGTCTTCTCTCAGACAGCACCTGTTGGCACCCTGCAGGTGTCCCAAGTGGGGTACTACGTGGGCCGGCAGCTAGACCTGCGCTGGGAACAGCTCAGCCTGGCACAGCTCACCCTGGGCGGGAGCTTCACGAGCAGGGCGGGGAAGCTCTCGATGGCCCGGCCGCCCGCCTTCACCGTTTACTATGACAGCCCTAAGGTGGCACTGCACTTCCCACAGGGTGAGAGTGACAAGTGCCCAGGAGGATGGTGCGACAGTGTGCAGTTGTCAAACCTCACACACCTCTGTGGTGTGCACGACTGGCAGTTGTGACTTAGTGGCTAGGTTGTCGGGCTGTGAGGAGAGGAGGGGCAACAGGCATGCCTCACAGTAAGGGGAATGAGCAAGAGATGGCACAAGCAGTGCACTGTGGGCTGGAGAAGTATTCAGAAGCTCACAGGCCTCAAATAGGCACTGTGTAAAAGGCAAGCACATTTTAGTGAGCATTTTTTGTATATTGAATGCACAATAGAGCAGCATGTGGACATAGAAATTACTACTGAAATGCTAAAGTAAGCTATTTGTTCATGCAGAATGGCAACACGGATAAATATAAAACATGCATAACAGGCTATTAATCTCGTGAAGTGTGTGTGCTGACTCGCATAATCAGGCAAAACCATAGTGTTTGTGCAGTCAGTCATTGTGTTTGTGCTACATTAATGTTTGCAGGGATCAAGACTTGACTATATGCAACAGTTGTAAGGTATCCAGTGGGACTGTTGGACAAACTGATGCAGCGCCTGTGACTCATATAAACAAAACTGAGCAATAGATGAAAGCTGGTGGTCAGTGTTATTTCAGCTGGCTTTGGCAGGGTTTCCCCTTGGAAGCGCCCCTTCAGAAATGCATTGTGGTGTGGGCTGGAATGTCTCCATCAGCATTTTGTACAAGCATGTGGTGGGCGCAAGCCATTTCTGAGGACCCAGACAGAGACTGCATAGAGTGTCTTATCAACAGGCATGGGTCCCAAATATACAGCTTAAAGTCCTCGCCACAGACTTCAACTTTGCTGAGCATTATGACCTGATGACCGTGATGTTCCAGACCACAATGACTAGAGGCATACCTGCGCCATGCTCGGGCTGTGTGAACGTGGCCCTCGTTAGAAAGCACCGTGCACGAACTTGAGAAGACCCCGAGCAATGTTTCTTTTTTTTTTTTGTTATTTAAAGAGATGCAATGGGAGGGCCTAGGGTAGGCGGATCTTGGGAAACGCTGCGTGTTTATTGTGAATAAACGAACTGCATTTTGTCCAGTCTAAGCCTCCTCTCAGCAACACAACAGCAGTCTTTCTTGGTCCGTGCCAAAGTAAGGGCCACCTGAACATCACTGGTACCTTGCAACATTATTAGGAATATTTTTTTGTGTGAGTTAGATATATTTTTTGTTATATCCCATTTAATTACAATGTAGCATAAAACGTGATTGTGTATTAAGAGATTATATTAATTCATTAGTCTTTTTCATTGTAGCAGTCATGTTTCACTGCAGTGCAGTTGTGTTTGAGCCAGTCACCTTGCTTGCACCTTGTTGCACAATACAATTTAGATGCCTTACATGCCTCATCAAGTGTGCAGAGTCACCATTGGTGTTGTTGTGAACATGAGTGATGCAAAATAATTTTCATCATCCTCACCTTTAGGCATCGCGTAAAGCAACTATCACATAATGCTGCTGTCACATGGCATTCTCGCTTGGTGAAAGTATGCTGATCTCGGAGGCACTACGAAACCATGTAAGGTTTAAAAAGCTCTCAATGCCTCCGATCCCAGAGGCAATGCAAAATCACCTTGGATGCAGAACGTTCTCAGTAAAGGGGAGGGGCATCAGTACAACTGACTGAGAAGAAACAGAAGATGGCTTTGGCCTTTGAGTCGCCTTAGGCAAATGCATAAGAATCTGAGTGGCATTTTCTTTGGGTTTCAGCCGTAAATCGTGATGGTAAAATTTCGCTCTAATGAGCTTTGTACGGTTTGTCCTCCTGCTGCCCATGCAGGTGAGCTTCTGGCTGGCGTGCGGCAGAGGCTAGAGGTGGTGCTGACTTGCGGCAGTATTCCCCTCACTGCCGAGCACCAGCTTCACCTGAAGGTATCCAAAGGACTGCTCATCAGGGTATGCTGTCTATTGTTACTACCTGGAGTGCCCAAAGTGCCAGAGTTGCTTAGTAATACCCGCCAAACAAAATGACCATCCAAACCAGCCATTACTGACTACTTTCTGTATGCTAGTTCTGCTGTCACAGCTTGAAAATGTTCTTTTTTTGAAAATGTTCGTTCTTTTTCTTATTATACTAATTATTTTTTTGTATACTAGTGCCCATTAGCTTGTAACATTTTGGGAAGTTATGATAGGAATGCCTTCTTTCATTTCTGGTTTTTTCATGTGTAGTATATTATACCCACACGCAACCCCCTCTAAACACCCAGTGGGTCCTAAAGTTGTCGTAATATGCAAGTAAACAAACAACCAAACAAACAGGCAAGCAAATAAATAATCCTATCATATAACAGACGATAAACTCAGAGAAAGCAACAGTGATAAATATAGAAGAATGAAATTAATGCCAATAAAAAAGTTATTTATGTCATGTGGTTAATAAACTCCTATCCTCCTCATTTTACCTGTTAGGCTAGTTACCCCCACAGACCATCCTCGACTGCTTTCTTGAGTATCTGCATATTATTGTGAGTTATGGTACATCTGGCTAGTTGCTACTGCTCTTCAGTTTAAAAGAACTCGACTATCTCGTTGGAACTAGTTGTTTGCCTAGTATTCTTACGGTCTTATCATCTTTTTTTGTGCTTCGTCATTAAGCTTTTGTTTTCGTGCTGCAAGATGTATTCGAAGCTTCAACAAGCCCAGCTTGTGAAGACTCCCAACACGACTGTGTGTATCTGGGGAATATGTTGCTGTTCCTGCCAGGGCTTCTCCTTTTAGTCTAAGCTGCAAATTTTTTGGGTTGGGTGCGACCTTGTATATAAATATTGACTGTATGAGTGTTGCAAGTTTGCAAAGTGAAAGCAGCATATCAGTTAGAATGGTGAAACCTCCGCAGCCTAGCCATAGACAGATGGACTCCAAAACTGAAGACGCAAGCTCCGACTGTCCGCTGCCTCCATCGTCTTCCTTGTCTCCACCCTTCTGCGACGACTGCCGCGTGCCAGTCGGAGAGCCCGGTCTGAGCGCGTCGTCTGCAGAAGGGCGCACCTTCTCGCTGGTGCTCCAGGCGCCGCTGGCACCCTCGACCTTACCTGCCACACACCACGTGGCTCTAGCGGTGGAAGACCCAGGCGGCGTGACTGTTCCAGGTTCCTCTCAAACAGTGGCGCTCCACTTCCTGGCACCCTTTGCATGCACCCACCGGTTGCAGACCTGCGAGCAGCGGTGAGCGCACTATGTGATTTATTTCTCAGTTGCTCGTCTTAGCTGCTCATTTTACTACTGCTGTCTTCACTGCAATCAATCAATCAATCAGTCAGTTTTGTTACTACATAACCAATTATTTACACATTATAAGATACATAGAGGAGAGTCTGAAAGTACAGAATGGCAATTCAGCACAAGTCCTGCCTGCTTACTTACCAGGTTTTGGAACCACTCCTGCTGCACCCTCCTAATGCCTTTTCTTTAAGCTTGTGTGTATCTTCGATTGGTTCAAATATTCAAATGAATATTCTGTATTTGAATTTGCATTGATTCAAATTTAAGCTACAGAAAATTTCAAAGTATATAAATAGAACAAGTAGATGTACATTAATCTGCATGTAACCCCTGTTAAGGTGATTTCACTGCAGTAGAAGAATCCTAAGCCAAGAAAAAACCTGTTCAGGAGAAATCTGCACTTCTGCGAAGCCTCACTTCAAAGTTTGGTGAACATATTTCACTCACACCGATTCATCGTTTTTTAAAGTTTAAATCCTTGTCATACCGACTTATGTGCTCAGAGCATAGTATATTTTAAAATAACGATATTTACAGGTTGTCAATTACAGTAATGCGAAACCTGTGCGCCAACCTGCGCCAATGGGAAATTACTGTGCAGTACTGTCCCAAAAGACTATTTTTTTTGTCTAATTTGCTCAATGCTGCACCACAAGGTAGTTTTGGAACCGAAAGTAATGTTGACATTGCGCATCGTGAACTGATATTACGTGATGGTTGCCATCTTGTACACTTGCGCTGCTAAAACACCGAATTGGTCGATTAATTATTACGACTTCTGCGCGATTGCAGCGGTGACTTTTGTGGTAACCATCGGCAAAAAACGATGGCAATGTGGCGACTACCGCTAACCGCGCCAGTGGGACTTGCCACAGATAAAAAGCCCGTGTGTGTGGCGTAGCGCCGTTTAAGCCCACAGCACACTTTTAATAGCCAGCGACTACCTGAGAGCACTGAGGCGTCGATTGCTGCTTCCCCAATTGTTGTGCGGGATCATGTTTTGTGTGCACCGCTTTGCAGAAACAAAAGCAGCTCACTGTTTCAAAGTTGAGCGTTGTGGATCGCGGGCAGCGAGCGAGCGAGCCTAGCACACGCTTTCATGAAGCAACAGTTCAAACGCGCCGCCGTCCGCTTCCAGGATTGCTAGATTATCTGCAGAAAGCTTGCATCGTCGGGTAAACGCAACACGCTTCTCGCCGCATCTGTGTACGGTCTGAAGCGGAGTTTGTATGCCGAGTAGGCGAAGTGCTGCATGCAACTAGCCAGTGAACGATCCGCTCCCTGCGACCATACCGCGTCTTAAAGAATCTGCCAGTTTTCGCAAAGTAGCAGATCCCGGTAAAGATTTCTCGCGGATAGGCGAGTATGTCCGTTTCATCGCTATTTTAGTCGCTGCGTTGGCTGTGTACCCTGGACTCCACAGTAGTTTCGAAACGCTCTTTGTTATCGCCATCGCGTGCCATCGAACTGTCATGCGAGAATGCCAATCATATCTGAACATTGCAAAAAGGGAAAAAAATGGCTTCGTGGTGGGCACTTCAGGCAATATTTGCTATGACACTGTATTATTCCTTCTTTAGCAGAGATGGCTCACGTAAAGAAATGCAAAATGGTACTTGGTCATAGGTTTGCGCACGAGGGGCGGCACGGAGGGCATGTGGCTTTAGTGAACTCCTCATGGGAAATGCAATGGCAAGCAGCCAAGTGACATTTTTCAAGGGACTCTATACAACGAGGTCTCTTTAGTTTTTGTAGTCACCTTAGGCTTTTAAAAAGGGATTGTAACCTACTTCGAGCTGCATTACAATCTTCAGTTTTTTTGTTCTGAAAGTAGAGAAACGAAACTTGCGAAAGCAAATAAAAGCAGAAAATATGTGATTTGGAAAAAAATACTTGCGTTTTAGACTCGCATCTCCCGTTAAAAAATAAGATGCTTGCATGCGTAAAATGTTGCTTGCTTTCATACAAGCAGCACATATGTATGCCAAGCTCTTGAGGGCAGCGTCAGATTCCTGATGGCAGTTTAAATGTGTGTGTTTGTGTTTACTGCAGGAAGTATCTCCAAGTGAACCTTCAGGGCCTGACATCGCAACCTTTCACAGTGGGAAATGCCACCCTGCTGGCACTAGACAACGAGCCTGTGTACCTCAAACCCCTCCACTCAAGTTCACAACTGCTGGTCAGTCATTAGTTTAGTGATCGTACACCTTAGAGGAACTTGAACTTTTATTGAAAGTTCAAGTTCAACCAAGACACTCTTGGTTGTATTTTGCCACTGGCGTCGGCGTCGCCGTATATGTATACGGATCTATATGCAGTAAAAACCCGTTAATTCGAACCGCAAAGGGAAGCCGCCTCAGTTCGAATGAACGAAAGTTAATTAAAGTTCACAAAAGTTCAAGCTAACGAAAGTGAAGAACAACAATAGTACATTGCAAGTAGGGCATAACAATTTATTCTTTGAAAAAATTTGTGATCGCGGTCTGCCTTCTTTCCTTGAAGGCGACAGTCAGCACTTTTTGCTCTAACGAGCGAATTTGGCGGAAGGCCTCTTCTCCGCTTTCTTCAAAACTTAAGAAAAGACGGGCGGCATTCAATCTGGCCATGACTTCCGCAGCAGAGGGCAGCACTGGTGCTTCGTCCTCCTCCTCATCATCGTCACTGGCATCGACAGGTTCTGCACTTCTCATCTGACATATCATGTCACCATCCGGGAGTGCACCACACACCACTGCACTTAAGTCCACATCGACGTAGTCCGCAAACTAGACGTCTTCCAAAACGTATGCCATGGGGGCGGTGACGCCGTGTTCGAGCACTGGTGGCTCGTCAGCTTGCAGAGCTTCGGTGCTGAAGCCACAGTGGCGAAACCAATTTGCTATTGTAAGCGCTGTCATTTGCTCCCAAGCACGCACAAGCATGTGTAGTGTAGGAGCGTCACTTGGTAGTTATTCCACAAAATAATTCGATCCAACATATGACGCCGATAAAATGATTTTAAACTTCTAATTATACTCTGGTCCGTGGGCTGCAGTACCGCTGTCGTGTTTGCTGGAAGGAAGGCCAGCTTGTCGTGTTTGCTGGAAGGAAGTGTGTTGGCACGGTATTTGCCGCGGGCACACGCCATCAAGTCGGAGCTGCAGAATTGCGACAGACGGGAAGCTATTACCAGCGCTACCGCAACAAACGTTAGCCGAGGCCTAACACCAACACAAAGAATCGCGCCAGTCGGAAGCTACTCCCAGCACCAACAACCGAGGTATACTATGCACACCCGAGACAAAGACTGCAAAGAAGGCTGGGCGAAGCTACGACGCACTCAATTTGCTGTGTGCTGGTCATGTCATCTGTCATCTAACAGCGACAACTACGCAGGATTTTCAAAGGCTCCAAGATTGGCGCTTAAAAAAAAAAACAAAACTTTGAAGTTACGTAGAATGGAGAGCTGGCAGCCGCCGAGAGAGAGAGATTGTGGGGGGAGGGGGTGAAGAGTAAGTGTCGCTATTTTCTGCACTCTGGCCTCTGTGCCAGTTCCTCTGTTTTTCTCTCCGCTTCCTGTCAACGCCGCCTCGTAACTCGACAGCTGCCCTGTCGAGTGACTAGCCAAGCCGCCGGCGCGGTGGTGTGTAGTTCGAATTATCCGCTGCGGAACCTACTCGGCGTTCGAATTAACGGGCTTTTTATTCATAGGCTTGTATGGAGCTTGGTCAGACCATAACTTACAGTTCGAATTATCCTTAAATTTGAATTATTGAAGTTCGAATTAACGAGCTTTCACTGTATATCTAAATGCAGGAAAAAAAAATAATCCAGAAAAAGACTCCGTCGCGCGAAATTGAACTTGAAACCTCTGCTTTGTAAGTGCGAGGCGAGGTGCGACCTCAACCAGCGCCAACGTTCCAGGTGATTCTCGACTTAATCCACAACATCAGTGCCTTCCACGGCTCCGAGGATGCTCCATCGGCGCCTGAGTGGATCAAGAATATTCGTCAGCACGTTTAACCTTCACGGGTGTCCAGCAGCGTACACGCTAGAAACTGCCAAGGACTGCTACTGTTTGAAGAGCTCCCAGATCACATTGTGGGAAAAGTTCGAGACACGTTTCCATCAGACCTTCTTCAGCCATACTCACGTTGCGGAAAGATGGGTCAGGATGCAAGAGCCTGTGCAGCAGCGCAACGAGAGTACGACGGCCTATTTCCATGCGAAGGTGCGCCTGTGCCATGAACTCAACCTCGGCTTTACCGATACGGGAGAATAAGTCCTCAAGGGGTTGAGGGCTCGCGAACTCTGCACCATGCTTTTAGGAAGGGCGTACGAGGACGACGACGACCTTCACATTGTGGAGTTCGAGTGCATTGAACGTGAATGGCAGTGGATTTTCAAATCTCGCAACCGAAGCCTTGCGTTATTACCGGATTCAGAGCGAAGACTGCCCATGCCAAGTAAAGGAACCATTGACTCAATCGAGAGAGAAGATCGACGCCTAGGATTGCTGTCCATCAACATTCTCGGTGAGTGAAAATGCTATAACTGTAATGTCTACGGCCAGATCGCACGCGATTTCCCTGCGCCTAAGTGTCCAATCATGTGCCAGCGTTTCCAAGCAACTGATCACACTCAACGCAACTGCCAGGCTTTGCTTCAAAACGAGACGAATGGTGTCAGAGAACTTTTTTGCACTGGGGCCGGTCATGTGTTGCTCAAGGAAGTGACGTTCAACGATGACTTTAACCTAGTTGGCCTCATTGACACAGGGAGTTCCGGTTGCTTGTTGCGTGCGTCAGTGGCGGCACGATGCGGCATCGAGATGGTTCTGAGACCGATCGAATTATATGGTTTTTGCAGCCAGCATGTACCAGTGACGAAAAACCTCAGTCATTCTGAGGTTAAGTTGAGCATCGATGGCGTTATCGCAGAAAATGTGTCTGTTCTTATAGTTTTTGACAATGCACAAAGAATAAGCATGTTGGTGGGCCGAAAGTTCACCGGACTGCCCAATGTCATGTATGCCAAGGTGGGAAGCAGGTTCTGCTTTTACCTCCTAAGCAATTGTCCTTTCGCTAATCTGGTGTTGGCTTAAACTGCACGTGACAGCCAAAGAAGAACGTGAGCTTCTTAAGGATTTTGTGAACTACATCACTACATTCAGCGATCGCTCTGTTACCAATTTTCGAGGACACTGTGGACTTGATGTGCTTCCTGAGAGGAAATTAAAAAAATCAGCGACTGTTGACGGTCCTGAGCAGCTTGGTTGGGGTATCAGATTGAAAGCAGATGAGTGTAATAAGAACAACGCCTAACAAGAGTACCGGCAAGATTTCATTCAAGATTGTTCATGGCTACAAGTCAAGTTTTTGTGAATTGTAACTTCAGCAGCTTAGCGATACAGAAATTCCTTTGCAACAAACTCAGGAATTAAGGCCACATGTGCGCCAACGCTTACTAGGGCATCCCTAGTGCCGGAAAGATGCCTGTAATCACTAGCGCTACCCTCAAAAGCCCTCTGAAGTTGATGAAATGGTATTTCTTAGCAAGAGTCCTGTAAACGCCAGTTTTAGGACTACAACTCAGCCCAAGCGTGATGGAGCACTCGTCGACACACATGCTTTTCCTGGAGACACTCACCGCGTCACTGACTTACGTCCTGAAGGAAAGGCTGATATATATTGATTGATATGTGAGGTTTAACGTCCCAAAACTACCATATGATTATGAGAGACGCCGTAGTGGAGGACTCCGGAAATTTCTACCACCTGGGTTTCTTTAACGTGCGCCCGAATCTGAGCACACGGGCCTACAGAAAGGTCGATATTCAGGAGCTGCCTATGCCTCCGTACTAAGGAAGTGGTGTCCTTCGTATAAAGCATCACACCGTGACAATGACGAATCCGGAAATTCAACCATATAGATTGTCCTGTGCAGCATTTTCAGTGCAAACGTGTAGAACCAGCCAGGCTTCGAGAGACTGTTTGGTGATTTTATTTTTCTGCCCGTGGGTTTAAAGAACTCCACCGTGCTAAATTGTTATGATGACTGAAGCTTTTGTGTTCTTAATCTTTCATTACTCTGTGGCTTTCCGCAGCATCAAGCCAGTCAAGATGGCTGTGAGATATGACTTTTAGTCAATGTTTGACGTTACAAACTGGTAATTTTTTTAGTGTTGTGATGAATTCAGGACGTCAGTGTAGTTTTGTGTTAGTTTGTTTTTGTGCCTTCATCTTGTTTCCATAATGTGTCATTTCATTAGTAGTTGAATAGGATGGCCGAACATTCTTAAGTAGAATCTGTGAAGAACGTTTTCAAGACAGCCTTAACGAGGACGTTAAGTTGCTTCAGGTTGACTGAATGTTGGAAATGCACGTGCCCTGAGGAAGTTAGTTAAGGAAGACGACGATGAGGATGGAGTGACGCTCGTGCCGTTTCGCCTGTGTGGCGTTTGTAATCTGTGTGGCTTGTGTTTTCTAGAGAGTTTTGATTGATTTGTGGGGTTTAACATTCCAAAATCAGCATAAGATTATGAGGGATGCCAAAGTGGAGGGCTCTGGAAATTTTGACCACCTGGGGTTCTTTAACAAGCACCCAAATCTGAATACACGGGCCTACAACATTTCCGTCTTTATCGGAAATGCAGCCGGGATTTAATCCCGCGACCTGCGCGTCAGCAGCCGAGTACCTTAGCCACTAGACCACCGTGGCGGGGCTTCTAGAGAGTTAAGTAAATTCTTCCCTTTTTACAATGTCTCGGGTGCTTATAGGATGCCGCAAGCTAACAATCGCCACTGTGAATGTGTGATGGAGTCTTATAGAGCTGCCATTCTATTGAATGACGACCCCAAGACTTCATTAGTATAGCGAAAACAAGGGTGTGCAAATTTCAAAATTTTTGAATACGAACCGAATACGAATACATAGCTTTGAATACGAATAGAATATCGAATAGTGAAGAGGTGCAAGTTTTTTACCCCAGTAATCTTTTACTTAATCATATATTTATGTTGAAAACAATACCATTGTTAATATTGCCACATGGTTTGCTTGGGTGAGATCGAAGAGTGAAAGAGGACAAAGACGATCTCTCTGAGCCGCTGCTTGGCTAGTCGACTAAACGAGCCCATTGTATCAAATTTGTCGTGAGTAACGTGACAAGACTGGTGGAGTTGCTGGGTACGTCTCACG